AAAAAAAAAAAAAAAAAAAAAAAGATGGTGCGCATACAAGCGAACGAAAGATCATGGTCAGCATACATGTATAACCTTGCTTTCTAGGCAGGAGGATGATAAGCACATCAGGCCACAATCCGTGTATGGTGGTGGAATCCTTGGGTCCGTTGTTGGCGGGGTCGGGAGCGTTCGACGTCCAAAATTGCGTGCTGAGGATGAGGCCGCTCTGCTTTCCTCCGTCGACGAGGGCGCCGTTGAAGCAGCAGTTGGCGGAGGAGCTTGCGGGGATGTCGTACTTTGCATTGCACGAGAGCTGGGAGGAAGCCTTGGCGCAAGCGGCGATCTCCTGGCCCTTGTTCTTGAACGAGTTGCCGAGCTGGTCGAGCCAGTTGTCAGCCGAGACGGTGCCGGCGGCAGCGAGCACGGCGAGAGTGGCAGCGGCGAATTTCATCTTGGCAATGTAGGAGAGAGAGGAAGAGACTATGCGTAGGGGGGAAGTCAATGATGCGATTGTACTCAGATGGATGGTCTTATTTTATATCTTTCAGTCGACGAGGAGGGGCTGGAGGGGGGTTCAGCTTCGGCTATGGATTTTTTCTTCACTCCAGAAGCGAGGGACGGGGTCCTGAGTCGGCCGCGGTGATGCGGGCAGAGGCAACGTTTTGTGTGGGCACGAATGGGATTGCACGTTTGTGCTATCGCGCATGAAGCTTTGCGTCTAATCTCCCCCGACCCGCGGTGGGGGCGGAGGAGGGCTTGGCAGATCAACGCGAAGAAGCGGGCGGCGGCATTCGGAGCTCGACGCGCCGAACTTGACAGGCGGGCGTTTGGGCGCAGTGCCAACCTTTTTGCTTTTCAGCCTCGCTTAGCGCCGCAACTCGCTTGGACCGTCGGATGCAGATTCAACTTCCGCCACCTGCCAAAACAGTCAGCCTCCGCTCGGCGCAAGCCGGCCCACGTTCACGGTTGCACCGCGCGCAGCCTGCACGGAGCCTCTTCTTCCGCACTTTGTCCTAGCCTCGCACAAGTCCGACCCTGTGACACTCTGGCACAAGGCTCGCTATCTCGACGAACGCAAACCCGAGCATCCGCTCCCCGCAACGTGCAACGTGCGCGCCTTGATGCATTGACCATGCTTCCCCTCTTTCCACTCAATGGTCCCGTTTCAGACTTTTCTTGTACTCAGGCACAAACCGCGCGCTTCGCTTAACTTGCTGACTCGAGTGTGGATGGATGCATTCAGAAGCTCTCGAGCACCTTGGCGGCCCACGCGTTGGCCTCGATGCGAGGGCGGAACTCGTCGACGACCTTTCTGAGTTCCTGCAGTTCCTCCTCAGGGTCTGCGTGCCTGCGTTTCTTTGCATCCTGCTCGAGGTGCTTGGTGCGGGTAGCCCAGGTGGTGAGGAACTCGTCGATGAGCGCGGCACCCTGCTTGGTCTCGTCCTCGGGCAGGCTGTCGAGCACGCCGCCAGCCGTCTGTGCTTCTTCGTCGTCGTAGTCCTCGAGTTCCTCGGCCTTTCTCTTTGCGAGTGCGATGACCGAGGGCGGAAAGTTGGCGAGCTCGGCGACGTTGATACCCAGACTCTGATCGCTGATGCCCGGCTCGACCTTGTAGAGGAGCGTAATGTCGCGGTCCTGTCGCGAGCCACCCTTGCGCTGCTCGACGTGCGCGACGACGTGCAGATTGCGCACGTGCGCCTGCTGGCTCGCCAGGTTGGTCAGCTCGTGGAAGTGCGTGGCAAACAGACACTTGCAGCGCACATTGGTGGCGATCCACTCGCTGATCGCCCACGCCAGCCCAAAGCCATCGTAGGTCGACGTGCCGCGCCCGAGCTCGTCGATGATGATGAGCGAGTCCGCCGTGGCTGTTTTGAGGATGGTGGCCGTCTCGAGCATCTCGGCCATAAACGTACTGACGCCCTTGAGCTGGCTATCGCCCGCACCCACACGCGCGAGGATGCAGTCAAACACCGGCAGCCTCGCTCCCTCGGCGGCAGGGACAAAGCAGCCCACCTGCGCCATGAGCGCCATGATGCCCACCTGACGAATGTACGTCGACTTGCCGCCCATGTTGGGGCCGGTGATGACGAGGAACTCGGACGCACCACGCACCATCTCGGTGTCGTTGGGGATGAAGTTGACGTCGTCCATCACCTCGAGGCAAGGATGTCTGGCTTCGCGCAGCTCGACGTCGGCATTGGTGCCCTTTTCGCTCACGATTGGCTTGACGTACGGCACGGGAGCGCTCTCGGACACATGTGCAAAGCTCACGATGACGTCGAGATGCGCGAGCACCACGTTGAGCTTTTCGAGCGGCGGGCAGTACGACGATGCGATCTGGATGACCTCCTTGACGAGGCCGCTCTGCGAGCGGTTGTAGCGCTCCGAGAGATCCTTGAAATCGGTCGAGAGGTCGCGCAGGGCCTCGTTGGTAAAGTAGAGGCCGCCCTTGACCGTGGCGATGTCCGAGTAGCCCTTCTTGTTGCGGACGAGGCTGGCGTCGGTGCGCGTGACGCGCAGGCAGTATCCGTACACGTGGTGGTTCTCCAGGTGCAGCTTCTTTTCGGTGTCCATGCGGAGCTCCTTGCCAGCGGCGCGGTGCTGCTCGTCGAGCTTGTCGCGCGTGTCGTCGAGCGCCTCCTTGATCTGACGCAGATTGTCGTCAAAGTCGGGCTTGATGACAAAGTTGTGGTGCGTGAGCTCGTTGAGATCGAGCGTTGCCTCGACGAGCTCGATGAACTTGGCTAGCGCCGCTTCGTGCAGTTTGAGGGGCTCGATGTAGGTCGAATCGAGCAAAAGCTGGTGCGCCTCGGATGGCGTGTCGATGTCGGCGAGCGTCTGGATCAAGCCCGGCAGGCGGAGCACGGCCTGGTAGACACGCACGACGTCCTCGAGCGTGGCGACTCCCTTTTGGAAGCGCTTGCTGATGCGATGCATGTCCGGCATGAGTTTGAGAAAGTCGGACTGGACGTTTTGGCGCGAGCTGTTGTCTCGCACAAAGAGTTCCACGAGGTCCTGCCTCTGCTGGATGGCGTGGACATTGACGAGGGGCTGCTTGAGCCACTGGCCGAGCAGACGCTGGCCCTGGCCGGTGCGGCAACGGTTGAGCAAGCCAAAGACGCTGGTGTTCTTGCTCGAGCCTGTCTGTCCCGGCTCGGGGAAGAGATTGAGGGCGCGGAGTGCCGAGTTGTCGAGACGCAGGTACTGGGAGAGGTCGTGTGTGCGGATGGTGTACTGGCCAAAGTTGTGCTCGTCGGTGAGCAAGGCGAGGTAGGAGACGAGCGCAGCTGCTGCGGCCATGGCGACCTTGAGGTCGAGCTCGGGGATGGTGATTCCGGCCGACTCGTCCTTGAGCAGACGGCGGAGGTCCTGCTCGATGTTTTTGCCGGAAAAGTCGGCGCGTCTGTTGTCGAACATGACGACGCCGCAGCGCTCGATGACGGCGCGCAGCTTTGTGAGGTCGAGGTCGGCGCCCTTGTCGTCCTTGGGGAGGATGCACTCCTTGACGCCGAGCTGGATCATGAGCGACTCTGTGTTGGAGAAGAGGTCGTTCTCTGCGTACTCTGCGACGCACAGCTCGCGGTTGGTGGCGTCGGCAAACGCCGCGCCGACGGTCTTGATGCCGTCGCGCGTGGTCATCTTGAGCGCCATGACGATGGGCGCGCTGACGATGTCTGCGTTGACAAAGATCATGTCTTCCAGCTGCGTGAGATTGCCAGGAGAGGCGTGCTTGACCATGGACCACTGGTTGTTGCGCTTGCCGCCGGCGTTGCTCCAGATCTCGACGCGCATCTGGCGCGAAGTGAGCGCCTCGCGAAGAAAGTTCTTGGCAGCGGCGACGCTGAGTGTGATGGAGGGCAGACCCTTGTCCTTGCCGCCGCTGCCGAGATACTTGAGCGCGGAGTGCGTCTTGAATACGAGGTTGGCCACGAGCATGGCGTCGTCGCCGTGGGCCGAGAAGAAGTCGGAGCGGTCAAAGAGGCGCAGCGTTCCGGGCGTGCTTGGAGGCATGGAGCGGAAGAACTGGCAGAAGGAGCTCTCGGCGACATTGTCCAGGCCGAGATCGGGCTTCTCGGACGTCGACGGACCGTCGTACATGAGTCCCGACATTGTCAAGATGCAGCAAAGGCTGACAGGTTTGATTGTTGGGTGAGACGGGTGGTGGCGGAAGGTGTTCGAGACAGCAGCTGCCAAATTGCTCATCTCGGCGCTTCAGAGAGAGAGAGAGAGAGCGGCCAAAAGTGGCACTCGCGGGACCCTTTAACGCGTCGCGTGAAGCGCCCGCGCCTGGTGGAGGCGTAAAAGCTCAGTCGAAAGCTCAGTCGAAAGAAAAAGAAACGCGCCGCTCGTTCAGATCATTTGACAACTAACAGTCGAAACAGTGGCGCACCTTCTTACCACCCTCCCGCTCGGTACGCACTGCTTTGCAGCAGCGTTCCACCTCGACAAGGCCCGTAGCACAATCTGTCTCGCTCGTGTGTGGATGCCGATACGAACGATGCGATCATTCCTGCATTAGGCGGTTGAGCACGCTCTGCTTCTTGCGCTGGTTCTCGGTGGGCCCTTGGGACGTCGGCGGCGGCTTGTCGGTGCGCGTACCGATGCGGACGTCTGTCGCGATCCTCTGCGCGCCGAGTCGATGGACCGCCTCGTGGCATCGCTCGATCGCCTTGCTCACGACGGGAAAGAGGCCTTCCAGGTTGGTTCCGTAGCCGCTGTGAGACCAGATCAGGTGGATCAGCAAGACAAGCCGCAATGATGATTGGCATGATGGTACCTACTGCACTTCGTAGCGGATGCCTTCGTCCTTCATCTCTTCGAGCACACGCTGGCATTCTGTGATGTACTCGCCAACCGAGGTGGTGGGAGTGCCCATTGGGATCACTGCGATACAAGAATACACATCATCGGCATTCAGTACTCGTACGGTCGTTGCTGCGCTTGAATATGGGGCTGTACTTACGGCAGAAGTCGGCGACCGCATAGAGCGGCTGCGTTGACAAAGGTGGCGACATGCTGGACGAGCCTCGTTGGCGGAAAGGCAAGGAAGGATGTGATGCGAAGGAAAGGCTTGGATGGTGGAATTCGTTCGGAAAAGGAGGCCGGGCGCTCACGGACCGTCAAAAGTGTTGGTGTGGAGGCGAGTCTTGGCCAACTCACACACGCGCGCGAGACTGCTTCTCGAACGACCTTACTCTCCCACCATCTCTCTCCCTACCTTTCGACCGAGAGCGCCTTTACGGGTCATGGCGCAGTCGCCAACCTCTCCATCCGAGCCAGAAGGTGCCGCCGAGGGCAGCCGGCAGGTCTCGAGCTCCTCTCGCACCAGCTCCAAATCCACCACCCCCGCACGTCCCACAGCGCTGCTGGCCAAATCCTGGACGTCAGCCGCCTCTACCTCAACCACCTCCTCCCGCATCACCGTCGGCGCCAACACCAGCACTGCCGCCGACTCCGGATCGCGCTCCCCCCCTGCCTCCACGCACAGCTCCGCGTCCACCAGGGCGTCCACCCCACTCCCAGACTTGGCCTTCCGAGCCTCCACACCGCAACCTCCCGCCGATGCGCATCTGGCGGATCTCGACGAAGATCCAAAGGTACACATCAGCACACCAGCCTCAGAATCGGATGCTGTATCGGGACAAGGTGCTTTCCAGAGCGCTCAAGGAGACGACGAGCCGGAGGCCGTGGGCATCACTGCGAGCTCGAGCATCCATGCGCTCGATCTGCTGCATCGCGTCAACGACAAGGCTGCAGCGGACAGAGCGTCGCATGGCCACAGTGTGCGATCAAGGCTGTCGCAGCTTTCTGTCAGTCGTGCGTCCTCCAGTCGGCGCAGCCGTAGCAACAGCGTCGATGTAACTGCCCGTGTGGCGAAGGATGATGCCACTCCCCAAGACCAGGCAGAGGCGCTGCCCGACCATGCAGATCTGCTGTCGAGTGACGATGTCCAACAAGCAGAAATCAACCTCGCCGATGCATCAGCTTCGAGTGCCGAGCCAGAGCACTATCCGGACCGCAAGTACTACATCCTCTCGTCGGCAGGCAAGCCGATCTACATCTCGCATGCCTCGCTCGCACGGCGTCGACGGCATCGCGAACGGCGGCGGCAGCATGCCACGCCCTCCCCACAACCCGACGATTCCTCCAGCGGCTCGCCTCGCACTGGCGTCGAAGCAGACAGCGACGAAGAGGATGAGAGCAGCACGACGCAGGTGGGCGTCATGCAGGCGCTCATCTCCATCTTTGCCGACGAGGACTCGGACAAGCTGCGCTTCATCCGGCAGGGCGATTTGCTCATCGTCTTTCTGCTGCGCGCGCCACTCTACCTCGTGTGCGTGTCGAGCTGGAGCGAAGAGCCGTCGACACTACGACAGCACCTCGAGTACCTCTACCTGCAAGTTGTCAGTCTCGTTTCCGCCAGTCAGCTCACACGCCTTTTCGCGCGCATGCCCAACTTTGATCTCAGGCGGCTGCTCGAAGGTACCGAGGGCATCTTTGACTACATGGTCAACCAGCTCAACGCCAACAATGACGATGGCAAGATGTCCGACTGGGCATGTGGCCATCAGTGGTGGCTGCAGGCTTTGCAGCCGATTCGTATCACCGTGCCCAACCTGCGCGACCAGCTGACTGCTGCACTCCAGCCGCCCGTGGCTGAAGAAGGCAAAGCGGATGGACAGGTGTGCAGACCCAAGGATTTGCTCTACGTACTGCTGGTAGCCAACGGAAGGATTGTGACGCTGCTTAGGCCGCGCAAGCATTCGGTGCATCCGATCGATCTGCTGCTGCTCACGAATACCGTCATGGGCAGTAGGTCGATCAAGACGTCTGGGGATGGAGAGGCCGAGGTGTGGATGCCGTTTAGCATGCCCAAGTTTGCGCCACAGGGATTCGTGCATGCGTACGTCAAGTTCCTCGATCCCGAAAGCTGGACGTCGGGCAACATGCAAGGCGAGCGCATGACGAGCTCCGAGCTGGCAGTGATCGTGGTCACCGCGGACAAGGATGCGTTTCCAACCGTGTCGAACTGGATCTCGTTGCTCGTTGCCAAACCGCCAACCTCGTCTGCCACCCCCGCCGTGGAGGCCGGGAAGGGCAAGGTCAAGGCGAAAGCAAGGCACGAAGGTGGTCGGGGGGATGCATGGATGACGACTTTCCAACGACACATTCTCGTGCTGTGTAGGCATCTATTGGATCCGCTCAACTTGGAGCAAGGTGGGCCGCGCGTTTCCGCCTACACCTGCACCGAACTCGGTCTGGCGGGGCTGCGACACTTTGTCTACCGCAGCAACAGCACGATCCAACTCACCTCGCCGCTGCTTCCCGAACCGTACAGCACCTGCCCCACGCACCGCAAACGTCTCTTCACCCTCTACGCCCTCGTCCACCACAACATCCACAACCCCATCCCCTCTTCATCACCCGAGGCTACCACCCCAATCGCCTCTGCACTCGGCCTCACTTCCCCAGCGTCGCCCAATCCAAAGCTCACCACGGACACCAGGATGAAGATGCAGCTGCTCAAGAGCCACCACGAACAGGTGCTCGGTTGGATCACGGCGCCGTTTGAGCTCTACCTCTGCGTCAATCCGCAGCTGTCCAAATCCGCCATTGTCGCGATTGCCAACACGCTGACAAAGTGGATCAAGTCCAACGAGCGCGACCTCTTCCTCGTCAACGCCGGCAGCTTTTAACGCAATTCTCCACATCGCCACTGCCCACATTGGGTATCGCTGCAGTACTAGGCAAGGCATACATCGTGTGGACGCGCGTGCCGTGTGTCAGGTGGATGACTCGCGGCTCGGTGAAAGGTGGAGGCCGAGTCCTTGAGTGGGCTGATGATCGTCGGGCTGGGCAGCCATGAGGCTTCCGTTGCTGTTGCTGGTGATGATGACGGTACGGTCTGAAGTGTCTGCGTCAGTCTCTTCTGTCACCAGCTCGACCTGCCGCGAGCGCGTCCAGCGTGGCTTCAAGCGCTTCCACCACCTGCGCCCCGCACTCAGTCCCACCGCCTCGAGCCTCCGGCTCAGATCGAGCTGATCCAGCGCAATCCCAAAGCCGGAACTCGCCGCATCCTCATCCTGCACCTCGCCACCCACACTGCCCAACACCGAGTCCTCGCTGCCCTGCTGGCGACGGCGCGTGTGGCTCGTGAGCGTCGAGGGTGCGTCGGCCTCCGACATGCTGCGCTGCGGATGGCGCGAGGGCCGCTGCCAGTTCGAGTTGACGCGCGACAGCGACGGCGAGCGCGGCTGCAGATGGAAGCCGGGCGAGCTTGGACTGATGCCGATCGACAGGCCGTGCTCGAGGATGGTGTTGTACAGCGAGCCCTGTCTTCTGCCGTGCGAGTCGTGCTCTTCCGGCGACGCTTCAGCTCGGCGACTGCGCGGAGGCGACGAGCTTGGCGCCGCACCCGCCTCGACATCGTGTGGCGCCGGCGAAGCTGCGTCGTGCTTGGGCGAAAAGATGTCGTCGCGCAGCGGAAATTCGAGCG